TGTAAAGACACCAGGCTATAAAACTTATAAAAGTTCCTATGAGATTCTAACTGATTATTTGAGGAGTTAAAAAAAAACAAACATTGAGCTATTATGCTGTGAAGACCCTATCTTTGTAATTTGGGTATTTATTTAAAATGTAATTACAGACTTAGTAGACTAGTTAACAAATATTACACACTAAAATAAAATTTTTCATGTTTCCTCCATTTCCTGAAAAGCTGGATCATGTCTCACTGGTCAGTGTGCTTACACACAGACATACTGACATGCAGTTGCTCACTCTCATGTTGATTTACCCATCAGTGTCTTTGATTACCAGTCAACTAAGAAAATGCCAAAAGGCAAATGATTGGAGGGTCAACAAAAAATGGAATATGGTAGGAAATGAAGTTACAGCTCCAAAATGACAATGCTGGATGATGATCATATTTCATTAGAGAATTATGAAATTACTGGTAAGAGTAAACCCCCCCACATGCAGAGTCAGGGGCACATGGTCGTTTGAAGCCTTCCCCCAGGGCACCAGGGTTCTGTGGGATCCGGGTGTGCTGACACTGTTAGCACGGCTGATATGAGAGCCTGATCAAAGCTAGCTCATTCTGCCTGACTGATTTCCACAGGATTAGGGATTAAGGAGACAGGAAACTGGGAGAGGCACAGAGACAATTGCAGAAAGACACAAAACATATGAAACTTATAAAGAGGAACTGGGACACAGAGCAGAGAGACTGTTTGATATCTTGAAAGAGACAAATCAGATGCCAATCAGCAACAATCATCATCTGCTACAGTTTTCCACATGACATTGTTTTAGTAATAATAGGATGTCTTTACTTCATAAACTTGTTTACATTATCATCAGCATTTCTCTCAATTTAACCAGAAAGTAAACAGTCAATCAAGGGCCATTTGTATCATCACCTCTGTACATTTATTATACTGAAGCAACTAAACTAAACTAAATGATGTGACATTTAACATTCAGCTCTCATCCATATAATTTGTAAGTGGCAAACATGTCACAATAATCTGCTAGATATAAAGCATTTTACTCCCTGTTCTGTATCGTCGCATACCATCCTAAACTACCAACTTCCAACAATCGTAGAGTAAACACAAAATTACTTTCAATGTCATAATTATGAATTAAGCAAAAGATGTGGAAATCTACAGTAGCAGATGCGCCAGACAACAATCTTATCTATGTATAGGAGATTGAGGTAGATATTCTCATAATATTGGCATTTGAAGGTGAAAAGTCAATAGCAACTAACCATAAGCATAAACACTGACCTAGTTTACAGTTAAAGCTATTGTCTGGGTGGGGGCACTTTATTTTCTTATGCATGAATGCTAGTGCTGTCCAGTTGACTGTCAAATCATGTTCCCATTGCAGATCTAAATGTGATTCTATTTGGGTTCAGGACTCTACATGAGGACTTGAGTGCATCCCTTGTGTATAGTAATGGCATGTGGAGATGATACATGTGTGCCTTGTTATGGCTAATGACCGTGACAGAAAGAGGAAGGACTTGTGTGTCAGCATGAAATGTCTGTCAAGATAATAAATGGGATTTCTTGGATGGGGTAATAGGGATAAAGAGACACGGTCGAAGTGAGAAAGAATAGGGACAGTTTACCACCTGCCTGCCAGACTGGATTAAAAAGGTCAGCAAGAGGCAAAGTTGCCCCCCTCTCACCAGATGTGCACTTGCTCCAGCCAATCACTGATTAATTATCACACAGTTCATGACATCAGGCTTAGCGTACAAGCAATTACATTATGCTACACACCCTGAGAAACCCGATCTGGGGGTTTCTGCTGCTGGAGCTGAGTGATAAAGTGTGAATGTGAGTAACAAAAAATTGAAAATAAATTAAACCTAAGTGTATTAAGTGTCTCTAAAGCTAGTGTGCGATTGTCTTCACATGTATTTTCCATATCTCTAGTTCAAACTCTTCCTGTCTTGTTTTCCCCTCACATTTACCAGCAATGATAGAATTGCATAAAGGGAAGAAAGCAAATAAACCCTATGGAAAGCTGCCTCATTTGCCCGAGGTCCTATCAATTCTTAGGTATAGCCAATAGCAATAAAGGAAGTCATCCCACTGTCACAGAAACAGTTGGCACGGAAACAGCACATTACACCATCGTTCAGCCCTCCTCCTTGTTCTTTGTCGTCATTTGTGCCCTCCCCTCCCTTCCACTCCTCTATTGTCCCCTCCTCTTCCCTCTCGGCCTATCATGTATGTTTTTTCAGTCATCAATGAAATCACAACCAAGCCTGCTGTTGGCTTGTCAGCCAGCATTCTAGCTCAGCAAACACATTTGCCAAGCGTATTGTTCCCATTCTGGCCTCTTAAAAGCAAATGTGAATTTTACTGTTATGTTCTAAGGTCTATTTGGACAGTCTGTTGTGATGGCAACGGCTACATCAGGGACAGGTTTTTGTTAGCCTCATGATTTAATCCTGAGCATTTCCCTTTTCTCCTCTCTATCCCAGCTGACTCCTCCCTCCTTTTCTGCTCTGCACTCCCTCTCACAGCCCCTGTCTCTGACACACTCACACACACGCACACATATATACACGCCCTCCACCCCCATCGCTGCAGTGTCTCAACTGCCTTGGAGCAAACAAGAGAGGATACAGCACACATACGCTAGTAAGAAGGAGAAGCAGGGGCGCTGAAAGGCTGAGTGATGTGCCAGTGTGACGCCGTGAATACGAGGGAGCTATGAGGATGAAACAGCAGGACTAAAGCGGGATTGCACGGAGCTGTTCTCACTGCAAGGGCTTGTCTGCAGTATCCTTTGTACATGGATGCTGGCTTGTGAACACGGTAAGCCTGACTGTTCTGCAACAGACAGCTATTTTTCTTTAATCACTCGAAGGGTGACCATCTTTGGACATAGGAAATGGCCAAGATACCACATTTGATTGCAGCTACTCTGTGAAGTGGGAGTGACAATGGTTTTTCTTTGATAATGTAGCAAAAGGGATGTTCAGAGATGGTACCAAGGCTTGGCTGTCCTGTCCCCTCCTCCACCCTGCTAGCTCTGTGCCAACAAATGGTGTTATTTTATGCTTGCAATTTGACTCATCATGTCCCTGGTGCATCTTTTTTTGACGTAAATGTGCTTTTAACTAAGTACAGAGTTCTTACCTCATGTAATTACTTTAGGTTACGTAGGACAAGTGGAAGATGCATCAAAGGTATGTGAGCGCTCACATCTGGGTCTGCGATTCAATCCAGGCCCTAAGCTCTGAAACAGAATCAAGACAGTAAATGAATCAATGGAGATGACTTAAAATATTTGATGTATATGTTCTTATGGTGTGGACGCCCTCATGAGACTTTTCTGTAGAGACTGAGGTGAATTGTAGCCCATCAAGAGCACAGGAACATTCACATAAGCTCTGCCAGAGGAGCTCGCTGTCTGCTAAGGGAGGAATAATTTACACTGACACTGAAATACAATCTCAGGACTGGGTTTATTTGCTCTATTTGTCTTGAATAGCATGTATCCATTTATGAGCACAAATCAGTAAGAGGGAGCAAAAGGGGGGAGTGGGGAATGTTCATTACTCAGCAGCCAACAGGATGATTTGTGACGTTTTCTGTCTCAACAATCGCTCATATGTTTGACACAGCATCAGGCTTTTTTTCAATGGGGATCAGCGCTGTAGCATCAGGAGAGGACCAGAGCGCTCAGTGTGTAGTATATGTGTGTTTGTGTTTCATGCTCCAGAGACTCACAGAGAGAGAAAAGGAGTGCAGGGAGGGGTCGCCGGGCTGGGGGTTTAACAGTAGAGAGGCAGATGGGGCAGAGGGGCGGAGGTTGATGCAGTGGAGAACAGCGCAAGAGACGCAAATAAGAAAGAAATTGAAAGAAGATTTGGAACAGATTGGATGACAGAAAGAGGGGAAAGTCTGTGATGATTTCTATGGTGCAGAGCCAGCGTTTCAGAGCATGTGACAACTAAAGAATGCGTGTGTGATAGATCCTCCGACTCACACTGAGGCCTAGACATCTGCGAAGGGAGGAAAAATGGTGGAATAAATCCTGTACAACTGCTATCAAAACAGAGTAGAAATTGGCATTCTTTTAAAAAGCCCAGTTAAGGTTAAGGGAGCTAAGGGAAAACAGAGAAGACTATTGATTGTGCACCTTGTCTGGTGTTGTTTTATGTAAAAAGCCTTAAGCCAAGTGGGACATTTAATATGTGTAACCTGCAGTCATCTATGCACGATGTATATATCAACAAATTCAAAGGTGACTACAGTTTGTATAGTATGTTTTTAACAAGGCTGACTAAAATTAAGTAAGTTTTCCCTTTCAGCAAAGTGAAAATCCACCTTATTTGTAGAAGGCCATATGGTGACCAATAAATTGTGCATACTTCTTGTTTAGTCATTTACAATTATAACTGTCTGTTGTGTCCACAAATAAAACTTTAATTAATTATACTACATATTAAACTAGACTTCATGGACCAGGTAGGCTCCTAAACATGTGACCTACAGGGATATGACAAAACTCAACTCCCTGCCATACCTGCTGTTACTCAGTCTGGCTACTCCATTGGGTGACATAATAGACAGAGGGGACAAATGGGGTTTCACAGTGACTATAGTTGTTATGGTAGCAGGTTTTGCTCCAGTAGGCCTTTGCTCTAATCCTTGTGCAGTTGAAGACATATATAACCTTACATATGAGTAAACCACCTACTTGGACAATTATTTTGCTCTATTACAGCAGAGCGCTACAGGGCTAAGTCTGTATCCCTTGGGGACCAACTTAATAAAATGATTAATCAAAGACATCAAATGGTTCATGGGGGAGTATCAGAATGACTGAATAATGTATATTGGGGGGAAAAAGTGTTGTAATTGTGATATTCCATGTGTGTAAGGATTGCTTTGTCACTCTATGATGTCAGACAGGTCATTGGTCTGTTTTAGCTGGCTCAGCATTAGTGTTTGTTTTGGGTGTTTAAATACTCACCAGTTACTGGGGCAAAGTATCATCTGTGCACAAAGAGTGGTGGGACAGCATCTGACAGCCATTACATGGGACACAGACAGGTGGAGTGGACTCATTAGTTACTAAATACAGAAATGTAAGATTTCAAACCAACTTGAAACTGGGTTGTATGAATGAGTATGGTTGAGCTACATAGAACAGTTGGTTCTGTTCAACCGTTGCCTTTTTCTGTTCTCTGTTGTCTGATGTTTGTTGGTTGCAGAAGACAGGGGCTTGTCTGTTTCCCTGACTCCGGAGAGTGAGAGGGCCTTACTTGGAACACTCAAATCTAAGGGGCAGAGCAGAGGGGACTAACAGAGCAACTTTGTGTTCCACTGCACACACACATAACAGTGGTCATATGACAACAAGGAGGTGGTGGGAAGGGTGAGGGATGATGAGGGAGTGCTACAGCCTCCTACCAGCAGTAGAAGGAAGTGAAGATAAGGTACACAATTTGAAACACTGTGATGGGACTCTCCATCTTTGATCCGATTGTTATCATTTATTAACTAGGGCTTATTATTTAAGCAGAAATTAAAAACATTAAAGTGTATTTAAAAAAGAAGAGCATCCTTGCAAAATGTACAAATATGAGCTTATGGAAAACAATAGATTATAACTCCAAACATACTTTAATGTGTAACTGCACAACATCAATAACTACTGTCCAAACTGGTTCATTATAATAAAACAAGCACACAAACATTATATGAGTATAGCCTTTAAAAGTTGTGCATCAGACTTATACCACAGGCAGCTGCTTTTGTCTCACATAGTTGGTTCTGTTGCTGTCTTAGCTATCAAATTACTCATATTTACTGCACATATTTATCTGTATATCTGTGGGTTGTAACCCACAATTTCCAGCAACTAGCATGCACCTGTCATCATGAGCCAAAAAATGAATGCTGTGTTTCAGTGCGTGTGAATATCAAAAAGCCTTTCACGCTAAGTCTATGGTTTTGATCAGTGTTGAGATATTGTAGTGCAAGATACATCTCTCTAAGATGTGTACACTATCATCACACTCGCACATAATGCACACCAGAGTGTCCACCTAGTACCATTTACTCCTCTCACATCCCACAGTCTACACTACACACAGCTCCACTCTGTACAAACCTGCCATTGTCATCACTGGCCAGCCTTGTGACTCAGTGTGACCCGTCAGATTGAAGAACGGGGAACACAACCATTGAGATCAGCTACGTTTAACAGAGAATTATCGCAAAAAACAATCTAGCGTACAGAGAGCTGACCCCTAGCCCATCTCCACCCTCAACAGCCCACTGTTTGGAGGGAGTGGAGAACAGAACACTGCCCATCATTGTTTTTCTTAATGAATGTGTAATGTAATGTCCTTAGATATGGATAGTGCAAGCATCTCTCTCTGAAGTCAGCACCAGATTGTCAATTAGAAGCATAGATATTACGCAAACTAGTGACTAATATAAAGGCTTAAAATGTAATTCTGGGCATTTCAACAAGTGTTAGGAAGTATGTATCAACACAGTTAAATTCCTTTTAATTTAATTAAAAAATGTAATTTAACAAATTACATTTTTTTGCTTCTTGGTCCAACCCCAAGTATTAATATGGCAAGTATTACAATCAGATCTGATATCTGATATTGATGGCAATTTTGTTTGAAAAATTTATTCTATAACTCTTCTACATTTAAGAATGACCTTTATAATATCATTACCTCCACTGCACCTCAGTTAGAACTGATTTTGATTTATTTCGCTGTTCAATAAATTTCACAATTCTGACATACCTGGACTCTGACTCACCATAGAAAACAAGCCTCTGATTTGTGGAATAGTCCTTGTTCCAATGTGCAAACTGTGTGTGATGCTTTTTTTTAAAATATATTATTAGCTCAAACATTGAGGCCTCACATGATACAGTGTAATCTGCTGAATCTCTGTTGAGACTGACATTGGGGTGACATTGATCTAATGCTCTCTATTGCTAGAAAAATGAAATTGACTGTCTCCTTTTTGTTCCAGAATGTACAATGTTACAGATGTAGTATCATTATTTATCCAACCCTTATAACTTTTTTATTAAATTCATTAACGCTAACTGATGTAAACTGATGGCGAATTATTGTGATTTACAGATATGTTATTATTCCTTACAAATAATCTGGTCAGTTCAATGTAATGTAAATGCAAGTCTACTAACCTTGACTGTGAAATTTGAGTCCTATAAGATCCTCCTTTTTGCCTTTTGCTTGCTTATGTATAGATTCTTGGAAATCCCCAGGCTGCAAGAGCCTTTTATTCACTTTCCAGCATCAGCAGTGTGGCCAGTGGAAAATGATGCAGAGATATTTCCGAGATGAATTGAAAAGGGATTGATAGAAATATTTGCGTACATATTATCATACCATGTCTAGATGTTGTTTTACATAAAATTATCAAGATGATGAACTTAATTTGTTCACGGCACAGATGTAATTTTATTCATATTCGGGTCAGCAACACTATAGTTGCCCCTGACAAGTAATCTATGCAAAAGACAAATAAAAATCACAGTCAGATAAGATTTGAGCCTCACTGGAAATTCACTGCACAAAATTGGTGTCATGTGAACTTGATATAACAATGTTGTGGTCCAAATTACAGCTAAATCTAACTAGATTAAAACCTCATGTTTTCAATTCAAAATGGTTACAGTATACTGTGGCTTAAGAAACAATTTCACTCAGATACAAAAGTGCCTGGAATTAAAGAGGAAATGTCACCAAGTTTAGATGCTTGTTTAGTGCTCTCACACAGGGACAGGTGGTCTGTTGTTCTGACCCGTGAGTGTGCCTCTCACAATATCCGGCAAGTCTCTAGTCTATTACATGCCTATTTGTTTTTGGGTTGGACTGACAACTTTATCAATCAATTATACACAAGGGGTACAATGCCAGAGGTGTATAGCATATTCTTACATGCACCCTTCCTCTCTTCCTCCTCTTTTTCCTGTTATATACAAACTACACAGACACATTTTAAACTAGTGGCAATATGATACTCTAATTTTGATCCACACCTGTGGATCATTATTTTGTAATATGGATATATTAATTAAAAATATTGATCTGTAAAAACTACTTTAACATGAATGAATAACTTTAAATACCAATTTGAGTTGGTAAAAGAGAAGGGGAAATGACTATAACATGATTAAAATCTCTTAAAAGTAAAGTTTGCATAAGTCACCTTTACAAAAAGTATGAAGGCTATGCTCCTACTGTCTCCTACATGTATGTTTTTCTCATTCGCACTATATGGACAGGTCATGAGCCATAGTTCATATGAAAACTCAGAACCACCAGAATTCACTCCCTGAACTGTAAAGGCTGCACTACCACATGATGATTAGCTACAGGTGCTAGGCTTCATGATCTATTATCAGAAGTAAGCAGCATTCTTTTCTGTACTAACAGATGTGGCCTTCCAATGTAAGCAAATCATGTGTGTTTGAGCAAATCACGTTATGCAGTGGGCCTCATAAAGAATGAAAACTTTCAACATGTCATTGTATGTTGCTCTCAGGATTTTCCTGATGATTTACATAATTACTAGTGATTGTGTATATCACATGATAGTGTCATTGACAGGAGGTGATGGCTGTTAAAGATGAGTTCTCTTGTGCATTTGTTGTATTCTCAACAAATGTCCCACCTACCATTTTTATTTATTCTTGAAACACAGTCCACATAAACCATAACAGGATGTGATCTATGCTTTTACTTAAAGGATTTACCCATATTACTTAGTGACATACTGCTGAGAAACAGTCACTACTTTTTTTTTAGGTTTTTAACTTTCATATTATTTATTTGTGGTTAGTACTAGCTATAACTATTTAATATTATTGGCTTATAGGTTATACTATGAGAAAATGGTGGTTCATGAAGTGTGAATTTTGAAAAGGCATAGCAACATTTTAGATGACTAAGATGTTTTATATGTTTCAGAACGTTGTAACTATTTACAAAAAGCCAAAATCATGTGACTGAGAGCCTTGCTATATCTATATCTATATCTATATCTATATCTATATCTATATCTATATCTATTTTTTTTTCACTTGTGGTTGATGGATAAAAAAAAAATCTATTAGTTTCTCTATTGGATCACCTCCCCTGTTATATTGTTTCTCCTTAGTTCACCTTTGTGTATGCTTGACCTTGGTTTGTTGTTTGCTATAATAGACGTGTGCATGCAGTAGTGGTAAAAGGTGGGCGTGGTTAGGCAGAAAAGAACAGTGTGTGAATCTGCTGGTGTTAGAATAGTGCAACAGGACATGGGTAATGCAGTAAGGCTAGTGAACACAGTTACACTTGTAAATACTAGTATAGTTGCAAAGCTTTATTAGTAAACAAATAAAAGGATATGGACTAGCCAGATTTATATATTTATATGAATACAGTTAGTATGAAATTCATATCAAGTCATTATTCAAAATGTTATATACAGATTGCTAGGATATAAACTACTTTCATTTGCATTTAACATGCTTTTCTTGTCTCTCTTCTTTGGCAGACTCTGAAACCTTCATATGTGTGGGACATAACATCACATCAGAAGTATAAAGATCTGAGCTGGGTGTTCAAGTGAAGAAGACAAGTATCTCACTGAGGTCGTTATCGAAGATAAACGGAGGCAGCTAAACTAAGTCGCCATGTGGGAGAAGAGAGTGCGAGTGCTTCTGTCCAAAGCCCTACTCCACTGACACAACTGCAACTCCCTCAGGCCCCTGCCCCATCCAAAGCTGTTCTCCAGGGGCCCTGATATGCGCCCCTGCTTCACTGGCCTCCACAGGCAGTCCCAACCTCAGGGCCAGGCACTGTGTGGGTATCACACCGGTCTGGCTTCTGCCTACACACTCCGACTGCCCCTGAACTAAGAATGAGATACTCCTGAGTCACTTCTATGTGTGCCGACTCTTCTCTCAAAGACTAAATTGGTCTGATTTTGTGCTTTCACTGAAAGCCTAAAAAAATATTGAAAACACCTTTTTAAACCTTCACAATATTTCCATTTGGAAAACACTTTATCATATTGTGCCCCCCATCAAAAAGCAGCACGTGTTCCTTTGTGCTCACCACGTGGTGGAGGACCATGGGATGCCGTCAGAGTTCGGAGGAAAAGGAAGCTGCACGGCGCTCGCGGCGTATCGACCGTCATTTGCGGTCAGAAAGCCAGCGGCAGCGACGTGAAATCAAGCTTCTGTTGTTAGGCACTAGTAACTCTGGGAAAAGCACCATAGTAAAACAGATGAAGATCATTCACAGTGGAGGCTTTAACCTTGAGGCCTGCAAGGAGTACAAACCCCTGATCCTGTACAATGCCATCGACTCCCTGACTCGCATTATCCGGGCCCTCACCACTCTCAAAATTGACTTTCACAACCCTGACCGGGCATATGACGCTGTGCAGCTCTTTGCTCTCACTGGTCCCGCTGAGAGCAAGGGGGAGATCACACCAGAATTACTAGGTGTCATGAAACGTCTGTGGGCAGACTCAGGGGTCCAAGAGTGCTTTCAGCGATCCAACGAGTACCACTTAGAGGACAACACTGCCTACTACCTGAATGACCTGGACCGCATCTCTGCACCTGAGTACATCCCAACTGTAGAGGACATCCTACGATCCCGTGATATGACCACGGGCATTGTGGAAAACAAGTTTACCTTCAAGGAGCTCACTTTCAAGATGGTGGATGTGGGAGGACAGCGCTCCGAGAGGAAAAAGTGGATCCACTGTTTTGAGGGCGTGACTGCAATCATATTCTGTGTAGAACTTAGTGGCTATGACCTTAAACTCTACGAGGACAACCAGACGGTAAGATAAAAAATATGTATGCTTTAAACATAATACACTAAACAAACAGTTTTTTTTTACTTACTTTTACTTTTTTACTAGTTAACACTCTCATAGTTATTATTGGCAAGGTTTACCTATTAACACTTCATGTTGTATTATTGTGTTCATTCGTCTATGAATCTATGAATATGACTATTTCACTATTCACTAACTATTTTACATGATGATGATTATGATGATGATATATTTTTTAAAGACTAATTTAGACACATTTTCTATATAATTTATATAATTGCTGTTTACAGATTACTAGAGCCACCATATCTTTTATCAATATAATCTTCTCATAGAAAAGACAAAAGGATCCTTGAATGACTTGTTTACAAAATATGTTGCATCATGTTTCTAAGGGATTGCTTAAATATATAAAGAATAAAAAATATACTTCAAGAGCATTAACATGTAAACAAACTTGAAACATTATCATCAATCTATTATTCAATTTATTATTTAATTACATTTAAAATAACACTTTTATTAAATTAATTTCTCCTTGCCTTACAACGGGGCCCTAAAAGAAAGCTGTGTTTTCTAGGGCTGTACTTAAAATTCTTGGTCAACAAATGTCATGTCCTGTGCATCAATTAATCAACTAAAAAGTGTCTCCAGATGAGCTCTTAAAAGAATGACCCTGACCCCAACTGTATACAGGCTCACAAAAGTCTAGCGAAAACTAGGACTCACTGAAAATGAGTACCATGATCTCGCTGCAAGGCTTGGTCTGGACTACCTAAGCTGGAAGATGTTACCAGTTGTGCATGTTTTGGGTTCTTGGGGGAAACTAGAGTGTTTGGAGGACACCCACCCAGTTACAGGGACAAACATGCACACTCCACATAGAAAAGCCCATGTAACCTGGTGATCGAACACAGAACCTTCTTGCTGTGAAGTGTGAGTGCTAGCCAGGGGCCACCCAGCCACTGTGCCACCAACTTCATATTTAGACTTCATGTTTGCGGGGCTGTGTCAAATTTCTACTAAAATCACTATATTTCAGAGTATTATTTGTGAGCTCTGTGCTAACTGCAAGGCAAACACCTTCAACATAATAGTGAGTGTTACTCACTTTAACCATTACTTTTCAAGCACAGTAACTCACAAAGTACGAACAAGTAGAGAATTGTCAGCAGTACTTAACGTATATTCACTATCCCTCCTCTTTATCATGTTCACTCTCATCTTTACCATATATTCACTCTACCTGGCAATGTTAGATAACATTTATGGCAGTCACATCTGATGCTGGGCTACCTGACTATTTTATGCAAGTTAGTACATTTTGTATTTTCCCCAAGAATTTTTTGTAAAAGAAGCACTTCATGTAAACTGAGACAACTGTGCAGATAATAATTAAGTATTTTTCTTATCAACTGAGAAGTAAGCATGAAAAACAGTGCTGAGTTCACCGCAGTTTCAATTTGCTGTTGATAAAAGCTGTTCTAAAGCTGAACATGCACCTGCTAAATAAATGCACGTGAATAATAACAATGAACAAAAGTCGTCCAAGGGACGAGTTAGCCAGATTAAAATACTTCTTCCGTCTTCCACTCTTCCTCAGAAAGCTGAGCTTAATGTGCAATTAGCAGTTAATGTACACTTTTTATGGTCAGTCCCTCATTGCTCCATGTTTGCTGCTCAGCTGAGAAGCAAGCCTCGGGTATCAAATAAGATGTAGCACAGTTAAGTGGTATTGGCTCCTGGTATCAGATGATCCCTGAATCTAGAGCAACACTACAATATTTGTATGTAAAACAGCATAATAAACTCATTTACCATTCTGCTGTAGCATACGGTATGTAAATCTTTATAATCATGAAAATAAGAATGAAATAACTAGTCAACTAATAAAAACTTTGAAAGACTAAGATATCATCAGCCAATTAATCGACTAATTGACTAAAGGCCTATAGTGTGTTCACATCATCACAAACAGAGGCAGGCAGTGGTATTGACCTCTCTTCCCACATTAAATTACAGATCTCTCTCCTCATGAAGATTTGTGTAGTGTTTTAGCCATGCATCTAATTGCACAAAGTTCTATGATTCCACATTTTTTGGGCTGTAGAGTCAAAGTTAAGGTTAGGGCCTGGTTAAATATCTGAAACTGCTGGCCACCAGTGCTGTCCACTATGTATGAAGCATGTATAGATGCTCTGTAGATTTCCCTGTTTCTCTCCAATTTTCATCAGAAGGATTGGGCTTTAAAATCACAAAAACCTGAAAGACAAACAGGACAGATGTGACTTGGAGCTCTAATCACTCCCCTCCAGAGCTCCATGTTGCTGTTCTCTCTTTCTCATTTGGTGAAATGAGCTCAGCCTCGGGTTTGGGGCTAGACTTAAGACATCCGGGGCTCCTTCGTACATCAGCCTGGCAGTGCCAAGACATCCATCCTCTAATATGCTGTCAGTGATATCCACCCTCTGCATGATTTTGGTTTCAGTGAGAGTGCAATCCTCTCATTGTTCACTGTTATCTAAGACTTCCCCACACATTCTCTGTAATTTTACAAATTGAAGATTGGACTAGTTTTATAATTGTTCTTTAATCATAATCAGTGGAAAATAATACATACAACTTGTAAGAGAATAAGTCTATTGTGAAGGTTTTCAAGGAGCTGACATTTACTGCATATGTTCTTTGTTATATTTGCAACTAGAATTAGTGTGGCTGAGCTTTTGTCATAATTTGACCTTAATTTGTGTCACTGCTGACAAGGGAGTACAGTCTTAACCTGGCTGTTGTCGTTACTAGAGCTGGAGTGTGTTATAGGCTACATCTAGCAGTTGTCATCATTCTCAAATGGCATACCTCAGTCGTGCTACTGCGTTTAACTAAAATCCAGTTTCTGTAATTATATTACTTGTGTGTTTCAATGAGTGAACTATTGAAAATGTGTACATATAAATGGTTCTTTTCATTTTACATCAACGTGCAAATATGGGTAAACCCTTCTTTAAAACAAATAAACTCTTAAAGTTACATATACTTCCCACAACATTTAAACTGTATTAAATGTAGGCTAAGTTTGGGCTACAAGGATAAAGCAAAGTGCTGATCTGCCAGGTTAGAACATGAAATAAATTACTTTTATGTGTAAAAATAAAGCTAGATGAGAAAATCTTATATGGTGTTAATTGAGTTCACAGAATCAAGTGCTCAGCTGTACCTGTGAGAATTAGCACACTGTGATGGCAATGTGCAGCTAAGGGAGTTCACAGGTGCTAGGATTTTTTATAGCCCATCATTATTGGTTAACCGTTAATGTATAACACTTAAAATAATGAACAATTATTTGAATGATAATAATTATTTATGAATGAACTATTTAAAGCTTGTTGCATGAGCTGCGAGGTCCCCCTAATCTCCCAATTATCTCCGCCCCTGGTCTTACCAGCACAGAGTCATAGCTTGTGCACAGCAGAGGACAATGAAGCTATAGAAGCTAAAACACCACAGACTTCACAAACTTTCATCAGGAAGTCTGAATGTAGCCTGTATCCTGAGCTTATGGGAGAAAATGATTTGCAATAAGGAAAACGTAAAGATAATTATAATCTTTATAATATAACACTGGGAGGAAGCAATAGAATGTTGTGAAAGAACAAAAATGTGGCTGTTTGCTGCAGGTGTTCCAATCAGTAGGAGCAAGTAGAGGGTGCTCTTGGAAAAAAGGATCAAAACGATTAAGCCCTGATGAAGACCAGTTAAAGTCGAAACATGTTGGCTTTGGCCATTCAAATAAAGGCCTTTTAACTATATTTTTCCTTGTGCGATGTGTTAACTTTTTCTATTGTTTTGGAGTGACAATAGAATGTTGTTTTGGGTTTCATAAGGTTCATTAAGCGGCAGTAGCTTGCACAAAAGTGATACAGCACAGCCAGCTTGTGCTCCCTTGTTAAGATTTGCCTAGTCATCTCCACCTTCGGCCTGCCCAGTGATAAGGAGCTAGGATGGGGACCACAAGAGCATGGGGTGCACTGGCACTGCACTCTGTAGTAGGGGTATCCTGTCTAAGAGAGACAGCTGTAAAAAATTATAAAATAATGTTATAATGTTTGAAAATCTACTTAAAATAGTATCCCGTAAATATACACAATTACGGTAATATGAGTTTTTGTAATTAGTCAATTTTCACCCTTTCTGCACAGAGCATCTGTACAGATGCACCTGACCCCTTGGTCAATGCTGCCCTGGGTATCCACCCACTGTGGCCCTAGTTAAAAAAGCACCACTACTGATACTAATCCTCTAATATCACAGATATTGAGATCATCACTGACAACAGCATCCTTCAACAATTCTGAGATGCTTGTGTGTGCAAAGCACTGGCTATAATAGCTGAATCATTGAAGTAATGGCCTGTCTTATAGATCATTTCAGTGCTTCCTCCCAGTCATCATCTCACTCCTGAGGCTTACTAATCTTAAACTCTTCAAGTCACAGACATAAAAAATAAAAGTGGTGGCAGCACCATGTCTAACACCAATGCACTAACTCACACAAGACAGAGAATACTGTAATAATTACAGTACAACATTTACCCATCATCCCATTCCCCAATGTATTTTTTTGTCCCACTCCCATCCCTGTCTTCATAATGAATCGGTGCCATGGTTACTGTTGCTTAGCAACAGGCCAGTCAAATGCTCCTAATCCTGTGGTGCTGACAGTGAGCTGTGACTAGGAAAGTGAGGATGAGAAGCGCAGTGGAGGGAAGTGAAAGGGGAGGGGTTATAAAAAAACAGATATGAAATGTATATGTGCATGATCATGTGTTTGTGTGTGCATTACTGATGTGGACAGCAGGTGTGTATAGAGCTGGGGATCCAGAAAGTGTTGTATGTGGAGTGTAAAGGAAGTATTAACGCATGGCTGAACATATGTTAAGAACTAACAAGCAAAGACAAAATGAAAAACTATATATACATGTAGGATAAGGCTTTAGGTTAGACAATATATCATCCATATAAACATCATAAGTGTTGTTTAAATGAGATGAAAATTTTGAATATTGGGGGAAAGCTCCTAATATTTAGCTCCAGGTATTCAGCTTCATGTTGTCTACAACATTTTGAGGACTTTCTTTCTTTATTCATTAGATATGTTATGTTTAAGTTGCTTAACACTGTCGCAATGGTCTTCATTTTTCATCATTCTGAAACCCATAGATATAACAAGTAAAATGTATTGGCTGTGTGGTGCAAGGTGAAAGCTTACAACACTAAATTTACAATTTATTATAATGTTGTGTTAATATTATTTTATATATTTAGCAAAGCCATACCTCTGCCAAATCTACCAAATCATCCAAAGATTGATTAGCTGGGATCTCAAGGAGCACAAGTCCTACACAACAGCATACTGCTGAGTGATGAGGTTACGTTATATCATGTTTCTGACTCAAATAAAATGCACAATATTCTACTGGTCCTTAGCTTAACCCCTAATGGATTACAATAGAAAAGGGAAATGTAGCTGCACTAACTCAGCTTAAGTAAGAGTTAGACCTCTGGAGTCGACTGGCAGGAAGAAGGCAAGGGGAAGGAGAGTGTGCTACAGCACCAGTAGGTGTTTTAAGCAAAGGAGGGGCATCTGAAGCATCAGTCCTCCTGGGTTCTCTCACTTCCTCCTGTTCTCTGGCTCCCCATTAACAAACTTACTGTAAGAGTGCCCCATTGGCGGGTGCAGAGGCTGGGGACTCCCCGAGCTCAGCTGGTTGTCTCCTGTCCAACTCACTTAGCAGCTGGGCTCTTGTTTTGACTCACTGTGAGATGAGAGAGGTCAAAACTGCATGTCAGCTGGTTTTGTACACATCTTTTTAAAATCTATTTATAATCTACTGAAAATGCTACCTCACATAGATTTAGAAACCTTATTTCAAAATCAGGTTTACCATTTTATAAATTTAGTTTTATGCCTTAGTGTTTTATTTTTTCACTTGCACTTTCACCACTAATAAATCAGCGTTTGCATCTATGACACTGCAATCCTAAACTACTTCTTTCTGTATTTTTTCATGCAGAAGAGATCTTGTGATTTGCTCAGAGCATCATGTTGTTTCTGTAACCTTTTAAGCAACAGCTTTGCATCTGACAACCTTCCAGTCACAAGCTCCTGGCTAGTTGCCACATACCAGCAGCTGCCATGACCAGATCAACTTTCTCTTTATTCCCTTTCTCTTATGCATTGGACGTCACATGAGCCCCATCTGTACTGACGCATGCACACACGTGCATGCACACTGTAAAAGTATTAAACATCTTCATTTTGCTAATGTGCTTGGACTATAAAAGCTTAAAATTGAAGTAATTGATTAGTTTTACTTGATGAACTTAAAGTCTTGAGCTGGTCTCTAGTAAAAACACATTGCCTGTGGGCAGTATTTGTCCACGACTCAAAAATGTCATATAGAATTTCTTTTGTTACATAATTTATAGCCATGTGGCCATGCACATCCTTTTGTAATAGGTTCAATTTGTTACAGTTTGTTGAGTCTACATGATGTTTTTTTTTTTTAGATTCCTTGGCTGACTAAATGATTGAAAGAAAACCAATCAGGGGTGATTGTAAGAGTTCAAACCCAGGTCTTCGGCTGTCTGCCTCTGTTGACATAACAGAAACACTGAACCTTTGGCTAGTCAGCTGGGTGGGGATATGTTCTGGTTCACTTTACTCAAACAATTTACCCTGAATACAATTTGCCACAACTGTTAATGTTTCTTTATTTTACATTCATTACATGAAATTGAGTGCTTTAATAATTTCTTGTATTTTCCCCCCATAGAGTCGCATGGCAGAAAGCTTGCGTCTATTTGACTCCATTTGCAACAACAACTGGTTCACCAACACGTCTCTTATCCTGTTCCTCAACAAGAAGGACCTGCTGGCTGAGAAGATAAAACGTATTCCTTTAACAGTATGCTTCCCAGACTACAAAGGTCAAAACACCTATGAGGAGGCAGCCGTCTATGTGCAGCGGCAGTTTGAGGACCTTAACCGCAACAAGGAAACCAAGGAAATCTATTCGCACTTCACCTGTGCCACTGACACCAGCAACATCCAGTTTGTGTTCGACGCTGTCACGGACGTGATCATCCAGAATAATCTCAAGTACATTGGTTTGTGCTAGGATCTGACAGGGGGATGGGATTTAGGAGGGTAATTCAGACCTCTGCACACCAGCTAGCTAGCCATTGGGCAGGTTCTTCGGACAGCCTAGTGTTTTATCTCCACTGGGAGCTGCAGCAGAGAACTGTGGTTACAAGGTGCTCTGACAGATACTACTGTAGAGTCAATGTGTCAATGCTGAGGCTAAAGAGCTGATGGTCCACACTCAAGATGGGAATATGCCCCATTGTGTTTGCACTGAATATGAGTATGCAGAGACACCCAAAAACACACGCACACACACACACACTTTTCTGTTAATCACACACGGTCTTTGGATAACAATCGAGTACTTCTATATGTGGCTGGAACACTGGAATTGTTCAACATCTGTCCCTAGCCTGCCAAACCAGACTACAGGTCTAAACTGGGGCTCTCCAGTTATTTTGGTCTCTTGTTTTCTTTGCCTGAGTCAATTAATGCTGCATTACAACTCAAATCAAATATTAATGTTCTCTTTTGAATTTTCACCCAACAATGGTAAGCAGTGAGTGCACTTGATGTGTTGTAAGGAGCGTTGTGTGTCTGAAAAAATGTCAGTAGACATGATGTCACAGGTGTTTTGCCTGAAAGAGGAAACTGCCACACTTTAAACCCAAGTGAATCTTCTTCTTCACAAGACTTAGTTTGACCCACAGACAAAGATCCGTTTAGTTCAGATTCTATCATTTATTTCTCCTTGTACCTGGAAGGTGTTTCCCAAGCAGAGTCGAAAGTATTAAATATCATACCATTGTCCATCCAAAAGACAAACAGTGCCAAGATCCAATTGTAAATAAACACAGATCCTATCTACAACTTTTGTTTTTATGGACAAATATTTTAAACATGCATGGTTTTGTTACTTTGGGATACTAATATATTTTATTTTGAGTTCTGTTTCTCTTAGTTAAATAATATATTCCCAAAAATCTATATAAAAGTCAAACACTGTGTACGGTTGTACAGGTAAGAGAGGAATCTATTGAAAAGAAATATATGAATATAAAGTGGTTAAATAATATTCTAATAATGGTGAAGATGACTGTGATAATAAAGATAATGTGAAAAACACATCACAGAGTTAGCATGAGAAATCTCAAAGGAGAACAAGACTGTAGAAAAAAAGAAAACATTCAAAGCTCAATCTTCCTCCCATTATCGAAGTGGAAAGTTGTTCAAGTCAATCAGATGATGTGTAAATATACTGTAAGGTACGCTATGCTTAAACAAATAAACATGAAGCTGGCATACTTTGAGAGGGGTGGAGACAGAGCACGTAGGATGAGTGGATAAACACAATCTTCCTCTCACTCTTTTAAATAAAACTGGTAATTTGCAACAACTGTGTTAAGGGCTCAAGGCTTGACTTTACAGGATGTCCAAACCAACAAAAACAGCAATTAAAAAGATGATTAAAATGGACATTAACAATGAATAAAACAACTTATGCAAATTTTTATTGTGTTGTATGGTTTTGAGTGCTGGTTGTGTCCAATATGCTATAAACTTTGCTTGTTTAATTTTGATGTGTGAGAGTAGTTCTTGTCTGAAAGCATCATGTCTTTTGGCCCAAATCATTCTTTGCTAATTTTCTAAGCATGACAAACAAGGTCTCTTCATATTAATAATTTGACAAAAGTGCTCAGTCATGAAACTCAGCAACCACATAAGTAGGTTTTATTTTTATTCTAACAATGGTTACCATATAGAGAGCAAACATTTTGAATTAAATAATTAATAATAATCCTCCTATGAACTACTGACACAGAAGGGCCACAAAGCTATGCTGGACTGACAAGAGCTTGCAGTGTTCATGGTGAACTGCTGTATGGTATAAAAGCGCTCAACACCTCCAGTCTGTCTTATTATTTCAGAATTACGCTGCATCAAAATATTTGTCACTTTGAAAAGAACACACTGTCCAAATTGATTCTGCGTGCTCCTCTGTCCAAGATCATGACATAATAAGTGTTTGTCCTAATCCTACAATGTAGCTACTGGGGCAGCAGTAATGTGGACATAAAGTATGCAATTAAATTACTCCTGAATGAACTTGGCCTATGTGTGATGTGGCAACAATGTATGTCCAGATTCCTTTCTAATTGGTGTCTAAACCCCAGCTGACCCAAGATGTTTTTGGAGCAGTCATGGATCAGCATTAAAGGAGTTAAAAGTTAAGGATTACAATTTTGTAGGAATTGATCTTCCAGAAGCACAAAGGTGCATGACAACAATTAGGAGTTTATTACACATGCTCTAAAAACAGATTGTTAAAAAGTTCTGCTAAAAGTCCTGGTGTGGCATGAACAGTTTTCATGGGCCAGGTGACAGTTATGTGCACACTGCACTGGTTGATGAATCATTACCACCTAAATGGTTAATCAGTGTTTGGGAACGTCTTCAAGCCACATGAGGATTCACTGTGGATGGGTTCAAGTCACAGAGAGAATTTGTGTAGGGAATGAACATAAACATAATCTAGTTATAGAGACAAGAGAATTTTGCAGAAATCATGCCTTATGACTATCACGTGATAGGGGTTTGTTGCCAATAAAAACAATTGTACTAAATGAAAGCATGGTCGCAAAAAATTTTCACAATTCATTAATCAAAAACCTATTGACAGATATTTTAATTGCAGACCTGGTTTAGAAAGAAGCTCATGTGCAGTGATGCTGGAGCAAAGCAAAGCAATAAATGTGTGAATATATCAAAATCAGATTATTCAAGGATATTTGCGGGAAAATTATGATGATGTAATCACTGACAAAAACGTCTCCTCTTTCAGTACTTCCGATAGTTTTATTGCAGTTCACAAAAACAGCACGGCTACATTTTTTTTATCCTATAAGCAGTTAAGTGCTATAAAAAGGTCAAAGTTACCAAACAATGTAAAGCACCACTTTCCCTCGTCATAAATGAGAGAACTGTCCTTGTCGTCAGCCTGTGTTGACCTTGGAGGTGTTGCAGACCAGTCCATAAAGTATTGTATGATCTTTTTCCTGTTCTCAGTTCCCCTGACTCCACTCCTCAGTGACCTTCACATTTTACTTCCACCTTAACCTCCTCCATTTTGCTCTAAGCTCATCTATGTGCTCCCACCTTTTTGTGGGCTGCAAACTGTCAGGCTAAGACACTGCCAAAGCCCTGCAGCAGTCATAAAAATCCACCAATCTGGCAATGCCTTTGAAGAGCTTACATAGTGATTTAGTCTTTCTCCCCTGCTATGTGGTGTCAGATCTGACATTTAAAATTTTGCATCAAAAATTCTGCTCCTGGTCAGCACTAGCAACATTTTTCAGGCTAACCTTGGGGCTCTTTTGTACTATTCTCTACAATGACTCCCTGAGCCCAAAATGAAGTCCTAAAATCACATGAGCAGACTTAACTTGTGCCCTTCTGAACCCATCCCTTTCATAGTGGCTTGGACTGTAGAGGCTGATTCCCTCTCCTTCCTGCTTGATTTTATCAACTCTGTCCAGGCATCTGGCTGTGAACATCTGTCTTTGACTCTTTATAGCCCTGGTCTCACAAAAAAAGTCTTCTTGACCACACTGACATCCATTACGTTACTTTCACATTCCCTGCCATGAGCTGCAGTAGTTTGCTGCAGTAGTTTTTAATAAAATCTGGACTCACAGTAATGCTTCATAAACTAAAAGGCTTTTTAGTTACCTTTTTACTAATAAGTTTGTTATGTTCTTTTAAAAATTTACCTCAATCTTTGTCTGCCTCAAAGCATGTGCTCGTCTCGTGAGGAAGGATGGAAAGTGAAACCTTCAAACCAACAGCGTGAGATCTCATGATACCAGACCAACACACATACCTGGATTTTTCATTCAAACGGTGATCATCCTTAAGCTCAGAGAAACCTAGAAGAAACATCAAAGGAGAAAGTAAAAACACATGTGAGAATCTGTATCTCCAAATAGTCTTTCTTTTACATTTTCATCAATATGCTTTAGCCAACAATTTTGTTTCTTTGCTGTGTTCTTGGGGAAAACTTTGCTCTTTGATGATAGTAGTCCAAATCGTACAAAATAAAAGGTAAAAGATTACATTAAACATTTTGCATGGGGCTGAGCAATTAATCAAATGAATAAATAAATTAATAATATTTTCATTAATAATCATGAAATTGAGGATTATTATAAATCCTCAGTTTCAAGTTTAGTCCTGTCTTTCTTAGTTGTAAACCAATGATAATTTGTAATTAAACAACTGACACTGTTATTATTAAAATGAGATACATAGAAGCAGGAGCCATTTTAACCTTTATTTGATGCTTGTTTGTAGAATATCTTTACAAATGTAACTGAAGGGACTTTACTTTTTATATATAACAGGATAGGAATAAAAATGGAAAGATCATCCCGTTTGAAAGACTAACAAGCAGAACTGATTAAAATTGTAATTGTTCGATGTGTGCTAAAAAAAATTGCCATATTGCTGAGCCGTAATTTCATATTAGGAATTTCTTGATAATAGGCCTAGGTTTAGGTAGCGTACAGTTCTATAACCTCAATCCATAAATGTTTTATTTGATGAACAGAGTGTTACTGTATTAATTCACATCAAAACACAGCTGCTACCGTTTCCTACTTTATCTCGGTTTATCCCTCTTTCTATGGAGATTCTGATTTTTCCAACTTCACTTGAAGTCATGATTAATGTCCAACTGCAGTTAAGTTTGAAAGACTTTTCATTGTAATATGTTCTATGACTTCACTACAAATACTAGCCTAAAAAGATAAAATTTCACAGGAGTGATCTACCTTTAATTAAAGCACTATCAGATTTCCAATTCTGGACTTACTGCCCTCCTCCTGCCACCCCCCATTACACCAGTCTAAAAATATTTCATTTATATACATTTGCAGTAACATTCTCTAACCATCAGAAATGAAATAGCATAATTTCCTATCAAGCTACACCACTGACTCACTAACCTCAAACTTGAATAAGAATAAAAAAAATTTAGTCTAACTTATAAAGGTCTAATAGACACTCAAAACAAATACAAGGCTAAAAAAAAATTAAAAAGATCCCAACATGTTAAAGCTGATCAGCAAATAACTTGGAAATCTCGGGCATGCCAATATCCAGAGGTGCTAGAGAAAAGCATGCTTTACCAAGAATGGCAACGATCCCACGGTCCACAACGATCCATTGGTTTCACATGGCCAGTGGCATGAGGTCAAGGTAGGTTTCATCTGCTGTTAAAAAGACAAGCAGAACTGTATGGTGTATTAGGCTAATAAATATTGTACCGTATGCTTTTAACCACTTGGTGTCGTTAGCTTTAGCAGAACAAATATGAACAAAATGTAAGAAGTATAATAAGTATGTAATACATACCAAGTCGAAGTATATCACCTTTACAAATATTTAGAAAATGTAATGCTTAGACCTAATTGTTCGGGGTTATTCTTCCTTTGATCTTTCTCATGGCGTTTGAAATGGAGGGAAACAAAAACAGAGAATAAATCACGCGAGGGTTGTGGGATGGAAAAATATAGCATAATCTTCCCACATAATACCTCTTTCGTGTGGGTTTATTGAGTAAAGAAATAGAAGAGCCGATTATAAACCTAGCCAACCCAGGAGACATAAATGGCCTCACAGCTGTAAATAATCAATTTGAGGAAATTTTATTTGACTTTACGTGCTATTGTAGACTACATACAAGATCTAAATCATATTCAATATTAAGCTTTAATATGCTAGCTCAAAAATCATAACCCAAGAGCAAAACTTTTCAGGATTGGAGTGGGCTACAATAGAAACACGTGCCAATGTACCCCCTGGTGGACGCGCCTCAAAACCCAACATAAAAAATTGTGTTTGACCTACAAACTACAGCAACGTCAGTGATCTGATATTTTTTCGCCTTAATAATCCACGCGATTCTTGGAGATCAGTAAATAGTTTTAAAAGTGCACTATGTAATTTTTCTTGTCTAGGGTGTGTTCCCCGCTTCTCTCCATGGAGATGGGTTCAAAACAAAAGGTGCCTTCATTGAGAATCTACATTGTAAAGAATCATGCAAATAAAGAAGAAACATAAATTAAAAACTGTCCAATCTTTTGACTGGTGTACATTTTAAATTCCATATAGGCTATTAAATGAATAAATAAAAAATATATAGTTTATTCTTATGTAAAATACACCAAACTGTTAGTGTCCCCTGCATTTTTTATGAAAGTAATTACTGTAGAGAGGCCAATTTCTTTACATACTGCCTTATGATGAATTGGTTTAGCGATTTGTTCCACAACTCATATTAAAATGGCATCACATATTGATTACTTTTATTAAGCATTCAGTGTATTTTTGCTGAATGCAGCACTAGAATCTTCCCACACTTTTATAAGCTTCACTGGAGGCCTTAACCCTCTAGCAATCAGCAGTAGCATTTAGTGTTTATTGTGATCTTCTCTGTATTTGTGTTTTGAATATCAACAGACTCATTGATGAGATATCAGGTGAACATAGCAAAGGCACATATGCTTGGCAGGCTCAAGCTGGAGGTTTTAAGTGTTCTGTTTTGAACAGAATGGGCACTGAAATTACAGTGTGAGTGGGCCTTAATCTGCAGAGCTCTGGCCTCATTCCAGTCATTGATTCTCATTCAAGTGAATATTGATTGTCCCCATTTGGAGATTTCAAGCCATTTACAACAGTACCAGTCTGATAACTTCACCAAGTCACTTCACTTGTAAGAGATTCTATAAAACACACATACAGCCTCACCAAATGTAACAAGTGACTTCCATTTTCATATTCATATGTCCTCAAGTGTGTAATGCTGACTGCAGTGCTGTGTGTATTTTCCCATACACTCGAGTGTCACTAGGAGTAGTTCAGAGATAATAA